GGACTCATCAGCAGTGCGCATCCACAACTCCTGCACCTTGCAGGATTCGAACCCAGGATCTTCGGTATTGTGCTCGAACGGCTAACCATCGGACCACTGGGTCGGCATCCAACGGTGTTAATGTCTAACTCTGATTGATCTAGGGATTTTGCGCGACCTCACCCATTTGTCTTTGGTAGTTACTGCCTACACCCGACAGGGTTGAACTCCATTAGTCACGTCTTCTCAACTAGAACTCCGAGAATTTCCTCACGAAAATTGTTATGAGGTAAGATAGATAATTGAAAAGGTATGAGGAAAACTCTTGTTAACTTGACTATTGTACTATAGATGAGCTGCAACATGTTTATAATTTGATAATGTTAAATTTTTTTGCACATTTACCCAAGTCACTTAAACTTTTTAAAATTTTAATTTTATTCTTATTATTGGAATAATGATGCATTAGACATTATGTCAAATTGTCTATTGGCTCGAAATGGTTATCCTAGAATTGCATATGCAGCTTGTCTTGGTTCACCATTGTTTAATTTACTTCTTGGTGCTGGTCTATCATATACTGTTAAAATTGGAAGAGCTGAAGTTGGACATGCATTCGTAAGTAGTATTTTCGGAAAATATTTTGAATGAATAAGTAATTCAGGTATATGGTTATTGTTGTTTAACTAGTAGATAGTATTTATAAAAAAGAAATTAAATAATATTGTAGTGCCTCCACATATATTTCAGTTCTCTCACATCTAACTTGGTTAAGCCCTTTCGATTAATTTATTTAACCAAGCCATTTGTAAAACAATAACTTATATGTACCATTGGCTTTTATTATTGTGTGGTTTGTATGCGCTGGTATGATTGAACATTGTTTACACTTGCGCGCATATTCATACTTTTCGCTTTAATGTTAATCTCTTAATATCCTCATGAACTCACATAATTTGTATCGCTTGCTTTTGACCTTGTCAATCATTCGTCGCTTTTATTCATGTCTGTGCATACCTATTTCGCTTGTCATATGTCTGTCTTATTCTTATCTGACTATATATTCTTAGTCATGTTCTATCTCTTTGAGTTGGCTCAACAGCCTTCTCCGCTTCGCTTTGTGGTGTGCCTCGAATAAACGTATTCATCAATATAATAATCCAGTTCACAATGGAATCAAACAGATTAATTGAGTATTAGGGCCTGAATAGTATGTTTCATTTGGTGTTGATCATATAAAAGTAGAAGACAAATATCTTGTGTTTCCAATACTTGGATTACTTATGAATGAAAGAGCTTATCTACAGAATTTCACATGCCTGTAATGTGATAAAGTAATTGTAAGGATTTGCATTTTAAAGTAGTTGATATTCCGTCTATACTGATTCACAGGTCAACTGAACGAATGCTTTGATCTAACGTTCTTTTACATGTTGATTGGATATTTGGATAGTGACTGTTAGCCAAAACCACGTTCCCGCTGTCTTCTTTAATGGAACCTATAGGTTCGGTATACAGGAATCAAGAGGTTACTGTTAAAATAGTGACTTGAATTTAGTAACCATGACTTTAAGTATCAGAACATTGTCATTAATACCAACTACATGAAAATACAGACACTTATGGCCAACTATAAGCGTCATATCTTTTCATCAGGTCGATAGCCATTAGTACCCAACAACATAGCCAGTAATGTTTTGTCTTTTAAAAACAATGGAGACTGAGTTCGGATATCACTCGAATGCAAGTTATTCGGTTGATAAGTATCAACTAAAATAAGTTGTGCGTCTAGTATTCCACAGCTAAACATTATCCAAGATGGAATTAAAGATAACTCTGAAAGAAATAAGATTTTTGCTTTCGTCTTCCTTTTTTCGAGCAGTAAACACATGTGCCAGAACTGATTGCAGAGTTATGTGTTGAATGCACTGAAACTAATACTGTACTAATGTTAATTTTACAAATTTGACGTGGTTTACAGACCATACCATTTGTGTTACATTATTCAAATATTTTCTAAAGTGGAAATAATAAGTAGTTTAAGAAATTTTTAAACATCCGATGACTGGATACCATTTAGACTGAAATATTTAACAAAATCGACTGAAGTTACAGCAACGTAGAACTTCGTACATAAGTACATCAGTTCAAGTCGCCATACCACATTATCACAAAGAGTGGATGCACTTCTGCCATTGCAAACGATTTTGAGCTATGTCGTTCAGGGTCTCTAGTCATCGATTACTATCATCTAGTTGACCACAACCAGGGAGTCGACACCTACCAACATGACTCAGTCCACTCGTCAATGACTTCATGGATTTGTTCCATGTTTTGTTTTGGCCGCTCCTAGCTTTCTTCCAACCTATTCCTACACCACAAAACATTGTTCGTCGAGGCAGTCGGTGGTTAGGCATACGCAACACTTGTCCTAACCACCTCAACTGATGAAGCTTTAATACTACCTAGTAATCGTTTCCTAACAACAGAATTACTTACTCGGTTGTCCCAGGATATACGATTGAAGACAAACAATCTACGAATGTCCTTCACTCTCACCGACCAGGTTTTGCGTCCGTATAAGAGGTTAGCAAACGGATATTTCGACTGCGCCATAGGTGACGCAAGGTGGCAAAAGCCAATCGAGCTTTCTGTATCCGTACTGAGATTTCGTCAGTCACCAGGCCATCAGCACTAATGAGATTCCCCAGATACGTGAAGCGGTCTACACGTTCGACTACTACTACTACTACTACTGATCCCGATTCAATATACAATAGTTGTTAAGGAGCTCAGTATTAGGAAAGAACAACTTTACAATTCCCACTGACTTTTAATGGTCCTTCACTTGGAATTTATCTTGGCAAAGACTATCTCCATAACCGAATTTACGGAATTAACTAACTTACATTAAGTCTGTAGATGATAATGAAACTTACTATGCTTACGATACTGAAAATTAGTACTCTTTTGTCATATATTTGATATACGTTATTGTCAATGTTATTATATAATAAATCTTCATATTATTTAATAAATTCCTAGTAGATTTTATAAAAATAAGATTTACTTATTATTTTTTGTTTTTTTCTCTCTTCCGACTTCTTCTGATACGGGAACATTAAAAAAACCATCGAAATCAATAAAAAATAATATCAAACAATATGCTGCAGTTGTCATTTACACTGACTCAAGCATTACTATTCTCTTGTCTATTAGCAGTGCTTACATTAAATATTTTAACAGCTCTAATAGGAAGGTTTCAATTTTATCGTTATTATGGTATTGTATTAATCATTATCTATTTAGTATTTGTCACAACTGCTATACTCATTGAAGTGGATGTTATTGTTTCACCAGTTAATTGGCATTTGGCTACTGGAACAGAATAAATGTCAAATATGTTACCAATATTATGAATACACGGATAAATATCATTGTTATATATACATATAAGTGAATGTTAATTTTTAACAAGAAATTTACTTATACTGAAATTTAAAATAATCATTACATTTAATTAATTAATTAATTGTATTAATTAATTATGAATAACAATTTGGTTTTTCTTGTATTGTATTACTACTTTTTTTCAAAAAATCTACTTTGTATTTTGTAATTTTATTTTGTAATGTTTGTAATAATTTTTTTCTTTCTACTTGTTTCTTAATTATCCTTATAAAAACAGTAAAAATAAATTTTTTTTTTAAAGACTTAACTGAAAAAAATTGTGTTGAGAATGATGGAGATAGTTTCAATTTTCAATTTAAACGAAAATGTTATTTTCAATGCTTTACGATATTTGTTTTTTTAATTTCTATTAGCGGTAAGGAAGGTTTTGTGAAATTTCTTGGGGAAAAATAAAACCAACCAAACAGTTTCATCATAGATTGTTCTAATACTGTTTTCAAAAAACACTTTAATACAAATAGCTATTTTGTATACATTAATAGATTGATCAGTTGTTTTTTTTTTTGTGTTTTTTGTTTGAATAGAAAAGAAGACGATTTTCTGTTTTTTTTTGCAGCATTCAAAATGAATCATGTAAAATGTTTTTATCAATTTTCTTTTGTATTTATTATTATGATTATTATTATCATTATGTACAAAACGGTCTTATTTTAGTTTTTAATTTTGAGTATGAAATTTTTAAATTCGATGGCCAGTTTTCATTTTGCACACAATTGATTTTAATGAACTGAAATTTTAGATCAAACTTTTATATATTTCCATTCATTGTAAAAATATCTTATGATTGTCCAGATGAGTTAGTGACTTACACCACTGGTGTATAAATAGTTTCAGTTTTAGTAGGAATAACAACCTGATCTGAATTTCATAGCTATTGATCACTAAGTAAACTTGAATTAAGTCTTTAAGTCATTATATTGTGCAGAAAATGTGAGATTGTTTCGAACTACATTATTTAAAGACTTCCTCTTAAACTATTCAATGACTAAATTAGCTAATATGCTTCATTCCTAACTTATTTAATATTATGATTCACGGGGAAAATAGCATTCGTGTTTAAATTTAAGTTAACCGAAATACAAGAAACCTATTGAAATATCTATGAAGTATTTCAATAGTAAGTCCGTTACTTTTGCACAAAATTATTTGATACAACAGGAGAAGTAAAATGAATTTGTTTTTAAAACACTAAATAGGGCGCTTGTCATTTATGGTTTGAATTTCTTCTTTACAATACTAATCATTTGTGCGGGTAATACGGTATTGATTAGCCATTGAAGCTGACGAACGTGGTATTTGAAAGGATCGCTGTTGGAGTTTAATCGTATAGATTTAATCCACTAGGGGATGGTTTCACGTTAGTAGATGTAGTCACATAATAACCGGTGACTAACTTAGATTCATAATTTATCCACTTCCTTGAGGTCACATAACTCATAAATACCAAACAAACTGAAGGATTTCTTTATTCCTTTACTCAATTTTCACTATCTAATTTCTGTTGAAGTATGCTGATAAGTTGAAGGTGACAATATAAATATGTTAATCTAGATAAGAAATGCCCATCAAACACTAAATCCTACATTCACTCTGCTTTGCAGAGGCTATTGTTATGAAGCCATTTTGGCCTGACTTTTATGTACAGAAAATGTTGTAAACCCCTCATTGTCATGCTAACATAAGCATATACATGTAGGCTTGTTTAATACATTAACCTTTAATTTTATTTTGTGGTTGAAACATTCCACTGGTTTTCACTCATGATATCATGTTTGCATCAGCTGTGTGATATGGTTATATAATCATCCATTTGCTAATTTTTCAAGTTAATGACTCGACCCCCAATGAACATAATCTCATTTTCAACATATAATTACTTTCAAATTTGAGCTATTATTTCAAATACTTTTATTGTCCGTTTCTATGATTCTATTTTCCGTTTCGATTGATCGGTTAAAAACATTATTATTTATGACTTTGAGGCATTTGTAGTTGAATAAAAACAACAAAATAGAATTAATTCATTTTGTTTTCGAAATTTTGAAAATATTACTTTGTCAAAAGTCACAAGTTACTTAGGATACACTTGTAATAACAAGTCAGTAAAATAGTAAATAGTAAAGATGTTTATTTATGACTGTTAAATGAAGTAGTTTCAGCTGATGAAATCCCAGTGTCAGTAGTTTAAGTAAAACCGTTTAAATAGGGCTGCAATATAATGAAACGGTTTTGGTGTTATACAAAATGTTACTATAGAAAACTCTCATTCTAATAGTAAAAAACCCCCTTTCAAACCTGAAAATTGCTCCGATAGAAATAGAAGTTGGTGATCTGTAAATTGTGCTTTGAGAAGTCCAGAATGTTTTATTTTATCTAGTGTTGACACCTGTCCAGGTGAAGAAATTACCAGTTTAATCTTTGATTGTGGATATATCATCCATTAGTGTGGTAATTTGATCTCATAAGTCAATAAACAAAATGAATAATCCCATTCCTTCGTTCTGTCAAACTCGAAATATTTTAAGTGATGGATCTACGTAGTATTCCTGGTTTCGTACAACCTGGTCAGAAGATGTCATCGTCGTCCCAAAAACACACCTCCAAGAAAAGTTGAAAAGGAACTATATACTTCAAAATATTTTAACAGCTGATTAGGTTTCCTATTGTAAACTTCGATTAAAATTGATAGTCTTACTTGAATGAATTATACTTCTGTAAATTTACGTTCATTTCATAACTGGTAATTAGAAGTGAAACCGAATTAAAGGAGACAATTATATAAGTATGGCTGTTAGCAATATTTATTAAAGAATATAAATAACTTCAACAGGAGTTCAGAACTTGGACTGAAGTCACTGTTAACATAACCAGTTAATATTATTTTGTATGAGCACTGACTCCTTTAATGATATTGGAGATTATGGTCCTATGACACAACAAATGACGTGATTTCAAGATACATACTAATTATTTCCTTTACTACTGGATACACGTTCTTTATCATTAGAAAACGGATTTCGTGATGGATCAATAATCCATTCATCTACATGTGTTTTATCATAAGCAACAACTCAACTTATGTTTTTAGAGCACAGACCATCAGACCGTTTAATTTTCCATGTCAGCTTATGCGAAAAGTTTAGTGACTTGTAAACCTATACAACAACTTTTTTCAGGGGTTCATACTTCCTTTAGGGCTTAGGTGTTCGTATAAAGTTATCTGATTGTTTATGATGAATAATAGTCCTCTGAATTTTGCAAACTTTCTGTCGAAAGGTGGTTAAGGGAAATAAGAAAGACCACAGTTTCTTGTCTCATGGGGCTTCAAATAACATTAGTTTACAGATGAGTAAGTTGTCTTTGACTTATAATCTCTGCTACTTTCCATCTGGAAAAGGTCTTGTATATCCCAACTATCCACTCCAGATTACGTGTTATATTTTATATCACTGAACTCTGAATTCAGTTTCAAACCATCATTGATACATTGGTAACCAATCCGTTTACATTTCCTTCAAACCTAAAACTTAGGGGATTAAGGTATGCTGGTTAACCTAGTAATCTAGCCATCATAACAAACTTACATTTGGCGTACAATTAGACTAAAACCTAAGTGCTTTGTTGAATATAAGGAAAAGTGAGATTATCTTTCAGTTTCTGGTTTTTTCATAGCGATTAACGAAAGTTAACTTCTGTGACTTTGATGGATGTTTAGGAGATAGATAATCTAGAGGCAGAATGTTCTACATAACCTCGTCCGGCAATCCAACCTAAGTTTAGAGAAACAGCTAGAATTTTCTCATGTTTTGTTTTGTATGTCTGAAGGTTCACTGACGTCATATCAACAATACGTTCACAGCTTGATCAAATTTCTAAACATGGAGATTTATGTTATACTAAAAATGACCAGAAGCTACCAAAGCCATTCTTTTAATGAGGAAATTTACTTAGGGTTTGAGGATAAAATGTTGGTTCAATGGTTGCAAACTTACAATCCGAACTATAGGCGCCAGTCATTTAGTATACTGAATTTGTCGGTAGGCACACCGGTCATGATGATGTAACCCTCTTAATGAATTGTAATCTTGAAGTCCTCTTGTAAAGTCTGTCATTGAATGGTTTTAGTAGCCACTTCAATAATAAAAAACCTGTGCTCATGCATTTCTACAGCTTCTTGAGCAGTGCCTGAACAGATCACATATCCGTGGACTTAGGGCTTCTGCACACTGTTTCAAGACTTTAGGGTGAATACTGTCACATCCTGATGACTTGTCTGGGCGCAGGGATTTCAGTCACTTTAGTGCCAAGCGATGAGTGAGTTGGACATTGTCCAGTCAATAAGCAGACACTAGGTTTGAGTATTACTCTGAGCTTATAGGTACCTGGTCTAACTGATTGGTCAAGTTAACATTAAATATCTCAGCCATCTGGTAAGATTTTAGCCACTTGGACCTTCAAGAGCAAAAACACTGGTTCGTAGGTTCTCTTTTAGTAATGAACCTAAAGAGTTATTTTAGGTTTGCCTGTATTTTGTCAGCTAGCCTTGTTTGGAAGTGTTTCCTGTCTCATCGAATTCTAGCACTGCATCTATTTCTTAGTGTCAAGTAAATTCTACAGTCAGAATCCTTCAGAGGAACCTTCCACTCGTGAAAGGCTCTCCTTTTTGCTTGTAGCAAGTATTTAGTGACTAGTTTGACTCATGTTCTTCTCTTTCAACGTGTGTGATTTTCCTGGGGTAAATTATGTGGGATAGTATTCTGAATGATGTCGCTCACAGTTTGCAAGTAATCCTCAAGGAGTACTGGTTACAATATTGCCGTACTCAGTTTATCCTTCTGGGCTTTATTAGTTGGAGAGGGCCGGTAAATCCCTACAAACAAGTATTTTGTGCCATACTAGTATGATTCTGTCGCATCAGTTAGATGAGTGCTGTTTAGTGTTGAAGCTTTGAAACGGCACTCTGTCAGTCACCACACTGGTTTATTTTTGGGTGCCTATTGATGTCCTGTCAGCAGTCTATAATGACCATGGTTTTGTGTGCCTGAATCGGATTAGGAAGGACAGCTTAACCGAGGGCCTCTGAGATGTTAGGAGGACTTCTTCAGCAACTTTGCTGAGTATGTCACCCTCGATGGAGGGAGTTAACCTAGGCGGAATTCTGACCCTTAGACACACGGCATAGTTCAGTCAGGATATTGCTCATCTCAAGCACTGCGCAGTACTTATCCCAACATTCCGTATGAAAGACAGCTCTACTTTTCAATAGGTTTCCCTCCGAAACTAGAAAAATTTCGCCTAACGTCTCTGTCGTGCTTTGTAGCGTTTTTGCAGCTGCAGTGCTGTCGTTTCCTTTTCTCACGCTAATGCGCTGCTTCGTACTGTTAACAGATAATTGGACAGTTACGACGGTTGATTATTTCATTGGTGTATTAGCTCGGGTTGTGGCCGCCTTCATCGCCTGTTTAACTGGTCTTTTACTGGGAGAAATAGATGTACAAGTAATGGTCAGTAGGTTTATTTTAGGTGGGACCTTTGCTTAACCGCTGTTAAATTTGTTGTCTCGATTATTCTGTACTGTGGATAAGCGTACTAGATCAACGGAAAACAGTGACGTACAATGAACCCATAGTAATATTAAGGTATGCATTATCACAGCAACAGTGAACCCGCGCAGTGAAGAAGTTATATTCAAATGAAGAGTCGCCCGTTTTAACTGGCGATGAGCAGGCAGTGCAATCATTTTTGTGCTCCTTCTGAATAGCATGTTGCGTTTTAGTAGTTTTAGGAATCCTTCTTTTCCTATTCCGCTTTTATCTACTGGTTTTACCAGGAGTAGGAATCTGGAAGTATCATCCTGGTTTATTTTTTGAAGACCTAGTGAAGGTGTTTGGGTCGAGTGATTGGAGTTATACTTAATACTATGAGATTCAACGTCAAATGACGTTTCTGGTGTAATAACGCGTAGCGACACCATTGTTGAACATGTTACTTAATTAATCTGATAGTGGAAAGCGAGAGAGGTCAAGGACAAAAATAAGCGGAATAGAAGTTTCTAGGGATTAAAATAAAAGTATTAAATAAAGTGAATAGATGCTAGGCATGAACAGAACCTGAAGGGCTCCCAAAATTGCAGCCTTACATTTGGACATCCTAGTAGGCGAATTTGCGCGGATTCAGTTTCCAAGCGAATGAATGTTTGTATGCTGCCGATGAAGTAACTAGGAAGAGAGAAGTTGGTCAAGACATCTAAAATTACTTTACAAAGGTTCTGAATTGGCATGATTAAACCTGTTTGATTTATTACTTCGACTGTCCAGCAATCAAAGAAGACAAAATTTACGTCCTCGGGAGTATTTAAATGTCTCAATATGGTATCGAAATCTGGATTGTTTCCGGTTTATTGAGAGAGGCCAACGAGGACACGTTAATGTTAGATATTAACGTCAAAGATTCTTAAATGAACATTTGTAGTACCAGAAAGATTAAACTTAGGTGATAACTGCACGTTATGAGCAAAAAAATGTGAAACGTTCAGTAATTCAGTATTTCGCGCGATAACAAGCGCGATAATTGTTTTCGTGACCTACCAAAACGATTTAAACACAAAACTAAGAATTATAAAATTCATAATTTTAGAAGCTCAACTTAAAAAAGTTTTTGAATTCGTGGGTAGTAGGGTTGAACACGTCTAGACAAGTGTGACAAAGTTGCGGAAGATACAAAATGTCAAGTTCCCCTACTGTGCCCTCTTCGGATGGGAAATGTAAAGAACGACGTCATAGGTGATTCTTATCAAACGTTTTTATTTCAATAAGTTACATAAGTGTAAAAGTGACTACTAATCTTTTCTTGTAGTGAACGGAACGGTGAATGTTACGAACCTGTGAAATGGAACGAGTATTTTAACATACGGGATGATATTGAACTGGAAGGTGGAGTAAGACTATGTATCCTAATTGTCTTTGTTTAGACATTCCGAATTTATCGTCGAGGTGTTGAAGGTCCTCTCCTTTTCTTTCTACATGGTGGTGGTTTTTCAGCGTTAACATGGGCAGTCTTGAGTGTATGTATTCTTGCCACTACGTTACTTGTTTAGACCCTTATCACTGATCAAGTTAAGTGCCAGTGTTTAGCAGTAGATATGAGGGGCCATGGTGACACAAAATGCCTCAACGATGATGACCTTTCCATCGAAACTCTCTCGAAGTACGCTCCTTAATGGAATTTATATTAAATTTAAGGGATATAATAAAAATAATATTCGCAATGTATCCAATGGAGGCTCCGCCAATTATTCTTGTGGGTCATAGGTAAGAAGCCTAATGACTTTTGTTCATCTTTGAGATTTACGAGGTATTTCGTTTGTCGAATTTTTTGTCCTAGGATATCTTTTTTACTTTTCATAGCCGTTATTTCTATAATTTAACGGACATTTTTATGGTACTGATTGTTCCTTACGGTAAACCTCTAGTAATTTTTAAGTTTTGAACAATTTAGATGCTATAACTTTGTAGGCGAAGCTATACATCGCTACTAATGCAGTTCTCAAGTTTTTACTGTGAAGTATGTTGAATAAACATTTGGCTATGCACTAGATTTTACTACATTCTTCTGATATTTCGGTAGATTCCCCAAAGTTTAGTTCTCCATGTTCAGTGGCAAACCAATTACTAATCTCAAATAAAATTCCATTTACCAGAATGCATTATGTTTTAGTTCACATTCGCTTAAAATTTAATAATTCAAAGCTGTCCTTAGATAAGGGGGAGTTAACCTCAATCTCCAATACTGATCCTTGTTTATTATCCCAATACTTATTTGCTTTAGTTAAAAATATGTGATTACTTTCAGTTGTGGTTATTAATGCAAGTGTTATTTGATTCCAATTATACTGTTCATTCAATAGGTCATCTGAATTGTGGTTCACTGAGAACTTTCTGTGATGACTGGTTTACACCGTTTTCAGCAAAAAAGCATCCTAATCATGGCTTGTGTCATTGATGTCTTTTAGTTGGGATTTTGATTAACTTATATAGCATTACAGAAAAAATTTTGTGTTGCTTTCGGTTTTTTCATGCCGAACTTTTATCTTCTCTTTGGTTCTTCATAACCCCAAGTTGCTGAAATCATGTCAATCTAGAAAACTTTTTTTTCACTGGTATCAAGCAGAAAATTAGTTAAACGCTTGAAGTTTAGTTTAGAACATGTTTAAACAATAAGCTCGATAGAATGTTTATGAGATGTTGACTTGAAATATTGTAGTGGCCAGTAAGGAATCTAACTACATAGGTTTTTGGTGCTTTGTTTAGCGATGTTGTTCAGCATGATAGGGCTCGTAGAGGTTATTCTAAGATCTGAGAATAATTCGTTTGTATTTAGATGCATTCCGCCCATAACATTAGTGTAACTTATGTCGTTGGGAAGTTTGAGCTTTCGCATACTCTGATCCATAGTTTAAACCCTGTTTAAGTTTTGTCAAAGATTATATACTGAGGGCTTGCTGTAAACGTTTAATTGCTGGAATCACCCCAACTTTTTCATAGTTCCTGTAACATAAGGTACAATGTAAACCATAATTCAACTGTCGTAGGAAATTGTTTGGAAGCTGTCGCACGGAGTTGATGAATATAGTAAGCTGGTTTATTGAGGCCACTTTTTTTGGTCGTTACTATAAATTATGTAATTACGAGCGGTCAAATGAAGTAAATGAAGCTACTGAATCTTTACGACTAATCAGCATTTTCGCGTAATCGAATTCTCTCACCTGTATTCTGCTTTACATTAGGTCCACATGCTTAGACACGAATGTTAACGCAGTGTGGAGAGACAGGAAATTTTTATGATGCGAAGTTTTTAATTGTGAGAGACTTGTAGGCTCATGCTCAGGTTAATCGTGCTCGCTTAATTATTTATATCAAAATGCTTTACTGTTCGTTTACAGAAGCAGTGCTCATTGATTTGGGATTTAGGTCCCATGATGTGTAATTGTAAACCATAGACTTTTGTTTTCCTATTCAACTATTCCTAAACTGTACAATAGATTCGTATATTACACCGAAATTTTCTGTTCAGTAGCACACAAGTGCTTTATCGCAAACATTATTAGAGGTAATCACTTTTAATTTGCTTTGGAGAGTTTGATCACTGTAGTTGTAAGGGAATTCTGGTAAAGTGTGATGGGTCCATGTAGTGTATTACTTGTAACTTCCACATATTACGGATTATTTTTAGTATAAAAATTCACATTTATATTTGTGCTTAATTAATTAACTCACTCATCAGATACTTGAGTAGTAGCCACACTCTGAGCTTAAAGACTAATGGTACCACCCAGTTGTTTAGACCGTAGTAGGTTGGATAGGGTTCGAACTAAAGGCTTAGTGCTCAAAGGTCGAACATCCTAATCACTAAGTCCCTTCTGATTGTTCAACGCCAAAAACTTTTTTCGTGATTTTGATTTACATAGATTTTTCTCCAAACAGTACTGATATAGTCGATGTATTCAAATTGACCATTTATAATTTTGAAATCTGTTACGTATTTGATCAAGTTTCATTATGCAGTCCATAGCAATCGAAGCAGACATCAATATTTTCACAAAAGTGAATATCTCCCGGTGTATATAACTTACAGTTAGCATTTTTTAAAATTAGAGTTATGAACTCAACGGCCGTTCAGTGCTTCCAGGTTTCTAATGGTGGTCTAACAATGACTGATTGACGATTTCAATGTGTTAGAGAATGGGATCTTTTTTTTAAATTTTAGTATGGGTGGAGCCGTAGCTGTGCATGTGGCATGCAAGCGAACTATCCCTTCTTTGGCTGGTCTAGTTGTTATCGATGTAGTCGAAGGTAAGAAAAACATTTCCCATATATATAAATGTATATATATACTTTATCTTGAGTCTGGTTGACTGAATATGTAGACTATTTAATCACATATAACATAAGTTTCAAACAGGACGGGATTTATTGCTCTCACCTACTTCTCGAATGATATCTTCGATTCCAAATTCTTTTGATTATCGCTAACACTTCTCCTGCCTCTAATACTATGGGATTTGAATTGACAATTGCATTTCTGTGTGTGATATGGCAACTTGAACTGATGTACATACGTACGAAGTTCTATATTTTGTTGACTGACTGACTGACGAAGACGATAAAATATAGTACAACTCATGGACGTCCAACTTTGTAGCTGACTTACTATTGCTCTCATCTATGAGTACAGTATCGTGCATGCCTCATACAATTGAAGTCAACTCTTAAAAAGTTGATACAATAATGTTATTCTCGCCTTAACCGAGAAAGGATCAGTATATCTAATGTTTGATAGACCCAACTGAACTGATCAAAATTATAACTATGCATGATATCTCACTATTGAGCAATATGTAATGCTCATGTTCAGTCTTTTGTTTTTCAAATTATTGAATCATCTGCGTTTTTGTTGTATGGTAAAAATCTACGATAATCAGTGAAGTCTAATTTCTTATTTGAAAACGATTGTGTCAACAACTCTACTATATCCTAACGTTTTGGTATCATTAGTGATTTAGGTATTATTTATAGGATTAGGTTTAATAAACGAAAGGTGTAAAGTATATTTTGAAAGATCAGCTGAAATAATGTCTTAAGACCAAGAATAATAATCATTTTGGAGTACTATCAATTGTGAATGTGCTCAGGTTGTGGGGTGAAACTCAGATAAACTTTATGTGCATGATCATTTTTCTCATCAAAGTAGTTCCCTTAAGTTTTCTGTTGCTGCACTTCACTTGGTTTCTGTATTATTACACAATTTTAAAACTTGGTTAACCCTATTATTCAGTGGATATCTACCAGTCGATTATCAGCAAACATGAAGTCCACCTAGATGTATTTAACATTAGTTTTACAATTAATTACAGATTGATTACATGCATTTTTCGTCCATGTTCTTAATTTTAATTTTAAAAATTAAATTTTTTTTTATTTCTAGGCTCTGCTTTAAGCTCGTTACGTGGCATGACAGCTTTCTTACATAGTCGTCCTCAAAGTTTTCTTTCTTTACCACAAGCAATTGAGTGGAGGTTAGTTGGAAATAAGTGTAGAAAAGAAAATACAATTGTTCGTTTTACAAAATAAAGTTTATAATGTACTTTATTTATGTTTTGATTTTTATGGTTTGTATAGGTGACACATTTTTCGTTCTAAAAAAAATTTTTTCTTCATAGCATAAAGTACATCCTCATGCAATATGGTGTGTACTTTTAAACTTTAAGTAGTATCCACTTGATTGCATGCATTGTCAGTTGGTATATATGCATGTGATCAAGTGATATAAATGTATACTTCTAATTCTTTGTAAGCACCTGCTATTTATTATTGTTGAATTGCTTTGGTAAAATAACATAGTTGAGTCCAACGTTCATAAGTTTTCAACACATATTTAGATGAAGTAGTAATGTCAATGTTGACTTAGTAGCAGTTGCATTTTTGTAGCTCATGAACTGATGCTCAGACAGTGCTATTGTCGAAGCTATAGAGCCTAGTTACACAGTTCAGTATTAAGTCACATATTTTGCAATGATACCAGTCATATAGTTTTAATTCCTTACTAGTGACTTTCTAAATGGAGTCCATTCTTTTGTCAGTGTTAAATTCCATCTTTCCCTTGTTTACTGTTTTTTATCGATATATTTCATGTTATTTTAGTCTCTTATTTGTGGTGTTTTCAGATATACTACTCAGTATGGAGTATTTTATTCAGATAATCACTTTAGATAGGCAGTTATATACACTAGATTGAGGATTTAATATTTATACTATTTGTAACTTTCATTTTTTTAACAAATACTGTTGGATATTATTCATTATCTATTTCCTGAGTTATTTAATGGTAATGATGATATAATTCACTAAAAAAAATACTGATTAACACTGATTGAACATACATTATTTTGCTAAAAGTTACAACACTACCATTGCTCATGTTTATCCTTTGCTGTTTGAAAACAGTTGACGGTAAACTTTATATCAGAATTTCGATAAGGCACTTATTCTACTTTAACACCAGATTAATTTGTGTGAAACCAAATTCTGTTTACAATCTATGTTTTCATGAATTTGAAGAGTTATTTTCAATAACATAAGTTAGTAATACCATTCATAAATTTAATTATATTTCGCATGCGTGTTGATTACTTTTCATTCTTTCATCGCATATTTTTACTGCTTACCACCGTTATTACACAAAACTTAAGTCTATTTGTTGAGAATAAAAGTCAGTGTCTGTATATTTAAGAGGTGGACCAATCAGAATCGAAAGTCCGTGTTGAGGATGCTAGATCCCCGGAAATCGCTTGGTAAACCTCTTAGTTTTGTAATTTGCTAATGGGATTTTGAATTTCCTATTTTCGTGCCAAAAGCGATTCTTGTAACACTCAGTTTGCGTCCTCCGTTTAGAAGGACGCAAACCTCTTTTAGTGTGCTATTTCGTAACTATTCCAAGAACGCTTTCTATACTGCCTATTAATTCATTCGCTCGGGGTTGCTTGTAGACTATACAATATTCCTGTTGACTTCGGATTTGTCTTGTTAACTGGGCTTGGCCGCAGGGAATAGCTTGGTTGTCTTGTTATTGTATTACTGGTTATCGTTATGTCCGGTCATACCAAGTCGTATCTTAATTAACGCAAGCATAGCAGTTCGATGAACAGCAGAAATATATTCCATCGCTGCTCAAAGTATTTTGACTGACTACCACAAATTACTCTTTGTCACTAAGTATTAAATGTTCAGTTCCTGCTTCGTAAATTTCATATAACACACAAATAATCACTGCCTACATTTTAATCATGAAACTTTAATCCTGCAGTAAACCTGAACCTAGTGAATCTAGATTTCACAAACAAACTAGTCAGATAGCACCTCCAGTGTTTCCGTGTGAAATTCATTTATCCATGTACTTGCAGAGCATGTTCGTATTTCAGCTTAACACTAAACAATGTGTGAATTCTTTAAAATCTCTTTGAGAAGACAAGTAATCTAAATACATATGGACGAGACTCTATGTATTTGTTTTCTCGATATACAGACAGGATGACCTGTAGAAAACTTTAATAGATTCGAAAATTAGCAACGTTTGCCTACACTTAGTTAAATTATTGTTAATTTTTCGAATGAATATCCATTGACCAAGGTATTTTGTGAACGGTTAAGAAATATCTGGAAATTAGTTGTGATTGTTTTAAGCTCGTTCTTTTTTCTATACCTTTAACAAAAACTCTAATTTCTTAAATAATTCCATTCTCTGTTGAGTTTTTTTTTTTATAAATTTTCTTTAACATTCGGAGGCTTTTTTCCTACTGTCTAAACTTGTGACAGTTACTGTAAAACTTATTTTTCACGACAATACCGATGAAGTATGGTACAGCATTTTTTCGCTTGTTACACTGTTCAGCAAGTAAAGGAAGGAAAACAAATTCATAAAAACTATTTCTGAGAAATATTAAAAGAGGGGCATAAAAGTAATAAATATTGTATGTTTTCAAATATTTGATTTTAAGTCACGTTTTTGTATCTATGCTATATGGAGAGATTCCCATCTAACATCTCAGTATTTTCTGACCGTTTATCAAAGCTGCGGGACTTTTTGGTCTGCGTTTGACCATTTTATGGTCTCCAAAATCGATCAAATTAAGGCATGATGCCAATTTAATCTTCTTCCATGAGCTTCATATATTTTCCAGGGAAATTGTATATTAGGTGTTTATATGTCCTCAGTATGCAGTTTTAAAATATGATCATTGAAGTTAAGTGGGGTGAATGATCACGGTGTACCAGACAATGGTATATTCCCTGCTGTTTCTCTACATACCACAGGTGAGTTATATTTAAACCCATCTTGTTAAGTTAGTTCCTATAGGTTAGTAAAGCTACAAATGATTGTGTCATCGATTAAATAATCTATGCCATGTAAAATTATTGTCATTTATCATGTGAGTATTATTTTTATTTTTTTAGCGTTCGCAGTTCGCAAATACGTAATATAAATTCAGCTCGTGTATCTTTCCCCGGTCAGTTGAAGCGTATTACAAGCGGTCAAACTGCAACAAGTGAATTAGATGCAGGAATTGCTGTCCTCTCGAAAAGTGTTCCGTCTATTCCTCCCGTAGCATCAACAGTCGATAGTCGAGTGTCTTCTGCAAGTCGATTATCAAGTCAGCCATTGGTTGAAGATTCAGAAGTAGAAAACTCTTGCAATTCTCAAGATAATTTAGAAGTTGATCACAATTCAACAAATGTGAGTTATTTTCAACACTTATTCTTGTCCACATCACCATATCATTAACCGAGCTATACTACTAGAAATGTTTTCGTTTCTAAAAAAATATTTATTGCTAAAGTGATATATTCAATGGTCGTTTGTGTTTTCAGTGAAAACAAATTTAGTACTATTTAGGTTGTAAGCGTGTTGAATTTACATTGGTTTTCGTTTTTTGCTCATTGCCTTTATCTCTTATTGGTGAGTGAGTGAGTGAGAAAATTAATGAGATAAGAAAGGGAAAAGAACTGCAAATGATATTGTTATCCAACTAATTAACGGCTTTTTCTGTCGTTCTTGAATAAGGCAGTAACGTATTCTGATTTGATTTGATTCACATAAAAGGGTTAATAAATCGATAGGTCATGATTGCAATGATTTACTGGTAACTTTATCTTGAATTTCTTGAGTTTAATTTCCGTTTAAACAGTCTAAATCATGTAGATTTTATCATGAATATCCTGAAGCTAATAAGTTATTTATCTGATCTACAGTTTTTAAGGTATCAGGAAACAGAGATCTCTACGAAAACCTACATTTAAACATGTCTGCTTGGATTTATCGATAATAAAAGTTGTAGATTGGTTATCAGTGTTGTAAACCAAGGTCATCATTTTTCAATTTTAAAAACTTATTTGTCAATCAGAAGGCATAATGCTATAATGCTGTTCCCACAACTCACAGTTTGTTTGTTGAGTAAGGTGTAGACTTAACTCTATGCAGTTGGTTTTATTAAACATTTCTCATAACTGCATTGTTCATTATGTGTCACATTTTGCTCAAATATACTTTTATAGCTTCCTAGCTGTCATAATGATATTGAAAGTTTACAACGCAATACAAACGATAAACCATTAGATTCAGCTAAATTTTCTGGTCAATACGTTGAAGAATCTATTCATTCAATAAGTGGTAGTACACTTCCTTCTCCTACTGATACTATTTCAAAACATTCTACTTCAGTATCATGTAAATCGAATCGTCGTCCACAGTATACTTGGCGAATAGATCTGATTAAAACACAGCCATATTGGCAAGAGTGGTTTTCTGGTTTGTCTAAATTGTTCCTTTCAATCCCTGAACCAAAATTACTTCTATTAGCTGATGCTGATCGATTGGATAAAGATTTAACCATTGGACAAATGCAAGGTTTGTATTCAATGTTTTGTCTTGTTGTTTCATTATTTTGGAATGCTGTATAAATGAATTATTGTAATTGTTATAATTTAAGTGCAACACTGACAAAACATCTAGGTTCTTATTCTAGCGTTTAGTCTTATGTAATGCTTAAAATCTGTAGATTAAATGGAGCGGATGATAAATAAATCCACTTGAAGGCCTAATACTCTACTCGAACACCACTGGTCGGGTGAGAGCATATGGCGAACTGTCATCTGAATTCTCTACATCAAGTGGTGTCCGTCAGGGCTGTCCACTCTCTCCATTCTTGTTTAACTTTGTCGTAGACATCCTCTTAGAGTTAACATTAAGCTCGTCAGATTTTTCAGGGGTTGACCTTCTACCAGGAAAGTCGCTTACTGATCTAGAATATGCCGATGACATAGTTCTATTCGGTGAAGACGCTGACAAAATGCAGAGTCTTCTGACTACCATAAGCAACAATGCGAGCATGTTCGGGATGCGGTTTTCCCCCTCGAAATGCAAAATGTTGCTTCAAGACTGGGTTGCATCGGCACCTGAACTGTATAAATGCTGTATAAATGAATTATTGTAATTGTTATAATTTAAGTGCAACACTGACAAAACATCTAGGTTCTTATTCTAGCGTTTAGTCTTATGTAATGCTTAAAATCTGTAGATTAAATGGAGCGGATGATAAATACATCCACTTGAAGGCCTAATAATAAAATATAACGAAAATAAATGGACTGTTTACTAAGCCCATAAATCAGCATTAACGTCAATACTTCCTTGTTTCACATCCTCCTACACAGTTTGTTTATTCTAATCATGTTTATTAAATATAATAAAGATTTATGTTGGCGAATTGAGACATAAACTGTGTCGCACAAAAAAATTACAAAGATTCTATTTCGTGTCGCCGATTTCTTTTGACTGTATCACGTATTTGTAAAACTAGTGGTCATGGGTAATAATTTATCTAAAAATTGACAACACTATCCAAAGTCCTAGTTTAAATAATTTCTCTTAGTTATAATTAAGTTTAGTCGAAAAAAAAACTAATTAGCGACTTTTGTTTTGTCAAGAAAATGTCCAAGAAAGAAAAAGCATTTCCCACAGAAGTTTATGGATAGTTTTGTAACTAAAATACTAAGATAATCATAAATCATCCCTTTTTTAGGAAGAATGACATGGTAAACAGTGCAAATCTAATTATAAACACTGTATTGAAAGCCACCATCCTAAAGACTAAATTGATCTCTTGTAAAGAACATTTATCTGAAACAACCAGATATTTACATATTTTCGTACAACTTATATCTGTCAGCTTACACGTATACGTTCATTGGAAGGATGTAGAGACCGAATGCTATTTGATTTCCGAAACATATCCTACAGAAACGATTGATTTTTGTCGGATTAAATACCCTTTAAACTTATATAATGATAAGCACCAAATGAAATAGTGGAGTGTTTCTTCCTACATTTAGTCACTTTATCGCTACGACAGGAACAACGACAAGAATGACTACTACTACTGTAGTGAAGGAAAACACCGGTGAGGGCAACCGAATTGTATTTAACGAAAATTACAGAGTTACTCAGTAAAATCGGAACACCATATCGTAAATCGTTAATTTGCAAAATATCAGTTCATCATATCGAACTGGACTGTCTGTTCCTGTTGCAAAACATCAATCCATTGTCACTACTATTCATGCGTTTCATACAAATTCCATTGTTTTCTGACTCTTCCTTTCTTGATCTTCCCCCATCTGCTGCTGCCAGACATTACGTTGACACTCACGTCATATACTACTTATAAGTAGCTCACACCACACTACTACTACTACCATTCTGAGCATTTCTCCAGTAATTTCATTAGTATGTGCTGTGTCGTAGGATGTGTCCCAGATGCTTTGTTGCGAACGACTAACACACTAGCTGATATGATATTCAACTTATTATATTTGAAATTACATGGCTTTTAATCTGAGATTAGGAAATATTTCTGTGTTATGTTTTAAGAACCTTTAGTAGTGACCATCGATCTGACTCCGATTCGGACGAACGATTTAGGTGTGCTATAAAATAAATCTTTCCTTCAATTTTCATTCATCATATTTAGGCGAACTCCATCTGAACGACAGCAGTAATAAGAGGCCAAATACTTATTCAGTTGAATGAGCTTCTTTCATGCAATCGTTCACACAGACAGACATGCAAGTAGTCAGGCAAAAGTAACCTAGACATGTGATAAGCGAAGTAAGTGATGCACAACATCCTCACTTAAATAAGAGCAACCAATATAATATGGGCGAATAATTGACAAGGTCAGCAGATATGTGAATGGTAACTAGGGCAGAAAAAGTTAATTTGTTTGTCCGAAAGCTAAATAGGACACGCCATATTGGTTCAACATATCTGGACACATACTACAAACCTCTATTCGCTGAATATTTCACTTTCAGTTTACAAATAGACCTCCAAAAAGTATGTTACTTTTGGCTAGTGATTTATCAGGTTATTGAATTACCTCACATGGACATAACGTTTATTATTTTATATCGCTTATCTTATCGTCAAGCAGTGTGTATTTACGGTTCTTTTGTCTACGTCAGTTTTCGCTGTTACTTTGTTAGATTCGTTATACTCGTTTACATACAAAAATGCTTTCGAAGAAATTGAATAAGAAAAACTAGTCGATTTGAGTTCTCTTATTTGTTGTGGAGTCAGTATTTAAACTATGGGCTAATACACCTAAACATCGAATTCACTACTGTGATTTACTAATCCCTAATTTATACTTTTATTGATTATGTTTACTCGATACAGTAGTTGCTGTTTTCTTTTAGGTAAATTTCAGGTTCAACTTTTTCCTCGATCTGGTCATGCTGTTCATGAGGATGCTCCAGATAAAGTAAGCCATAGTTTGTCTACTAGTTGGATATTTTCAATTATGTCATTTCGGTTGTCTTTTTACTACATTCGGTGTTTGTTAACACAACCAAAATTATTTACCAATTGTTGTCTTTATAAATATTGTTGGTATGGTTGTGTATGTGATCTATTGACCTGTTACTTTTATATTGTTGCAATGAGCCTCTGTATACGTAATGGTTAAAATATTCGATTTTCAACCTCTTGGTCAAAAATTCTTCACTCACTGTGGCTATATTGGCGTAGCCAAGCAGATTGTCATTGGGATTGATTACCTCGAGTGCTGTTCGTCAGGGTTGTTCACTTTATCTATTCTAGTTCAACTTTTTTATTTACATGCTTTCAGAGACGACACTTTCATCGTCTAACTTTTCTGTTTACGGGCGATTCACTTGTTAACTTTGTGTAGATGTTGACAAGATGCAATCTTCTTGTCACCCTAAGCAACAATGCAAACATGTTCGGGATGCGATTTTCCCCGTCGAAATGCAAAATGTTGCTTCAGGAGTGGCTTGCATCGGCACCTGAACTAGTGACAGGGATTGAACCACTTGAGCGTGTTGACCACTTCACTTGGGAGTCTAATCAGTGCTGGTGGCCTGGTGTGTGAAGAAATCTAATTAAGTTACAGAAGGTTCGACTGGCTTTTGCCAACTTGCGTCACTTCTGCCGTAGGCGAGATACCCGTTTGTTAACCAAGGGACGAGTTTATTGCTCAGAGGCTCACTCGGTCTTAGTATATGTGCGTGAAGCATAATCACTGAGAATACGGGATATTCGTAGGTTACTGGCATTCTATCATAGGCGTCTTCGAAGCATTGCTCGTATATCCTGGGACTGTCGAGTAAGCAATGCTGTTGTTAGAAAACGGGTACTAGGTGAGGATGGCAGATTCATTGATGAAGTACTGAAATTTCATCAGTTGAGGTGGTTGCGACATGTGTTACGAATGCCTAACCACCGACTGCCTAGACGATTGATGTTTTGTGGTGTAGGAGTAGGTTAGAAGAAAGCTAGGATGACCAAACTAAAACACATGGTACAAATCCATGAAGTCACTGACAATTGGTTTGAGCCATGTTAGTAGGTGTAGAGCATCTGGTTGGGGTCCGCGATAGAGTAGTAACCAGTGGTTAAAGGTTTTGAATGGCATAGCTCAATGTTTATCGCAATGGCGCAGATGCATCCATTCTTTGTCTTCTCTCAAATTCTAATCTTCGGAATTCCTTATGACTGTTTTTCTTCTTACATTTATTTTACTAGATTATACTTCTTGAATAATATCTTTGAACCCTAATCTTATCGATTACCGCTAGTATTTCTACTACTTATACCACTATGGAATTCGCATTGACAGTTCCATTTCTGTGTACTAATATTGTATGGCAACTTGGACTGATGTACGTACGTACCAAGTTATACTTTGTAGCTGACTGACCAAATGAACTGTATTATTAACAACTCTAGGCACAATGATTCGTAATTAGTAAATGGTTTAACTAAATATTTTATAAAATTTGATTTTTTAAAATTAAAACTGAAGGTAATTATACACCTGTTTTATTGCATTTCACCCTAAACGAATTGATCTATTACCTCGCTTCAGTTTATTGACTTCACTATAGAACTATTTACCTTCCTATAATCTTATTATATATATATATATATATATATATATATATATATATATATATATATATGATTTAATCGAAAATCATACTTATACACTTATGTGCATATTGTTTTATTTATTTGAATAGCTGTTATATCTCTTCTCTTGGATAAAAATGTGTCTGAAACTGTATTAGGGTGTAGTTTGTCTTGTTTCAGTTCGACACTGTAGAATTAAACATGTAACCATAATCCAATCATTTCTATCTGCATCGAATATATTATTACTGAACTAACTAATTGGGAATATGGTAGTTGTAATTTTTGGAATATTGTAACTAGGTTACATTTTTTCGATCACTGAGTAGTGGCGAACGTTGTGTTTGTGTAGTTCATATGTACTGATCGAATTCTACCAACCGATACTAGGTCATTCTGTTTACTTTGGTAAATCACAATTATACATTTCAAGGGGATTTCATTTGTTTCATTTACAAGTATCTCTCATGAATTCAGGCATATTGACTGTAGGCCACTTGATGTTTTGTAGTGAAATTGATTCAAGGTTCTGATTTGTTGAATTTAGTCAAACTGTACTGCAAAAACCTTCCATCACTCTTGGGTTCTCCACCTATCTTCTTCTAAACTCATTTAAGTTTATGGTTACAAGTTTAAATCAATAAATTTTTCGTTTAGTTTAAGTTTTCACATTTCATTTGGCAAAATATAATTACTTACCTACTTACTTACTTAGCCTGTTACCCCCAATGGAGCATAGGCCGCCATCAGTTTTCTCCAACCAACTCTGCCCTGGGCTTCCCTTTCCAGTTCTGTCCAATTTTTGTTCATCCCTCTCATGTCTTTCTCTATTTCTCGGCGTAATGTGTTCCTTGGCCTTCCTCTTTTCCTTTTACCTTGAGGGTCTCATGTGAGGGCTTGTCTTGTGACGCAGTTAGGTGCTTTTCGTAGTGTGTGTCCTATCCACCCCCACCGCTTCTTCCTGATTTCCTCCTCCACTCGAATCTGGTTTGTTCTCTCCCACAGTACGTTGTTACTGATGGTGTCTGGCCAACGAATCCGAAGTATTTTGCGTAGACAACTATTAATAAACACTTGTATCTTCTGGATGATGGCTTTTGTAGTTCTCCAAGTTTCCACTCCATACAGTAGAATTGTCTTGACATTTGTATTGAAAATCCTGATTTTGGTGTTGATTGATATTTGTTTGGAGTTGTAGATATTTTTCAATTGTAGCAATGCAGCCGTTGCTTTGCCAATCCGCACCCTCACATTTGCATCAGATCCACCTTGGTTGTCGATGATGCTGCCCAGATATGTAAAAGTGTTAACGTCCTCCAAGGCAGCATCTCCATCAAGAGTGATTTGGTTGGTGCATGTTGTGTTGCATCGGAGAATCGTAAATATATATTCCAACCGTTAAAATTAACTATTGTGTTGTTTTTTCGAATTGCTCATATATATTTTTATGCACATACCATACTTGAAATACATTAAGTTTTACACATTTTTGTATTTGATAAATAGTGTGAGCAGTCGTACTTCTTAATATCTAATATCTAATCGATTATAAAATAATTATTATATCATAATTTAATCGCTTATATTTACTTTATTGTCTGATTTAGGTTGCAGAATCCTTGGCTAGATTTCTAGTACGCAATCGATTCACAGAAGCTCGTTCAGATTTGTGAACGATGAATATAGGTATTTTAGTAATAATAATAATAATACTGTTTTTATTTTAAATTAAAAATTCATGTACTCTCATTTTTTTATGATACTTAAAAATTAAATAATACCCATGATGTTAGCGAATTTGTTAGAGTTTGCTGAATGATTGGACACTAAGTATTAGTATTATTGTAGTGAACGAGAACACAGGTGGGGCAACCGGATTGTCTTTAACGAAAATTACAGAGTTACTCAGTAAAATCGGAAAACCATATCGTAAATCGTTAATTTGCAAAATATCAGTTCATCATATCGAACTGGACTGTTCCTGTTGTAAAACATCAATCCATTGTCACTATTCATGCGTTTCATACAAATTCCATTGTGTTCTAACTCTTCCTTTCTTGATCTTCCCCCCATCTTCTGCTGCCAGACAATACGTTGACACTCACGTCATATACTACTTATAAGTAGCTCACACCACATTATTAGTAACCAGTCTCATCTTTATCTATGGTTCTTTGATACCAGTTGAATTTCATCTATGAAGATATGTGCGTGTACATTGCTGAAGAATGACAACTAGCAAGAAATCTAGCTTCAGAACTTCCTATCGATTTATCTCCAACAGCTTAAACTCTTTAACGACTTAAATGAAATGGCTAAAATTAGGTTTTTATGATATAAATGTATTAATCTTTTTCCAATCTTTCTCTTTCAAGTTTGTGTTATTCCATTTTTTTTCCTTAAAATATACTTTTATGCTTAATTTTCTACTCTTCCTGGTTTGATCATTTTGTTTACGTTGTTTTGCAGTATGTATGTTGTTTAATGTGACAAGGTGAACTGATATATACCATGTTTTACATTGTTTATTATCAACTGGTTAGTCTTTTGTTGTATGTTTTTATGCTGAATATGTTGTTTGCCTGCTGTAGGTGAATGATTCAACTTATCTCTGATTCTTATTATTGATAAGCTTGAAATTATCTCATTGATATTGTAATCTGAATAGTGATCAGCGTTTGTTGGTAAACATGCACCAAGTGCACGTGATAATTCTAATCAGTGTTTAACTTATTTGATTTCTCTTTATTTATTGTTTTTATCTAATCCTGAGTGCAATGATGGTTGAATGTGTTTGTTTTCCATTTCTCCTGTTTTTGTTAGTTTAAAGTTATTGGTATCACCATATAGTTAGCTGGTTTAGTTTTCCTTATTGTTGATCATTAGTATTATTACTATACTTATCTAATCACTGTATTTCTACATTCTATTGATTGCTGAACATAACTTGGTAGTATGCTTGACATCAAGGCTGATTTCAATATATATAGTATTGGTAATGCTTGCATTGTTGATAGGGTGATAAGAAGACTCTACATTTTATCAGCGTCTTCAACAAATAAAACTATGTCATCGGCATACTGTACGTCAACAAGCGTATCTCGTGGTATGTCCATCCCTGAAAAGTCAGACGAAGATAATGTTAACTCCCAAAGCATGTCTACGACGATGTTAAACAAGAATGAAGAGAGTGGATGACCTTAACGAAAAGCGTTAAGGTAATCAGTCCTGATGACTGTTCACTATGAGCTCTGACTCAGCCTTTAGTCTTTCGAGTAGAGAGGTTTTTAAGGTTGATGTACTACTTTGGTACTCTGTTGGGGACGTTAGATCCCCAGAACTTACTTGGAAAAACTCATAATCTTGGATTCTTTATGTTTTCCCACATAAGTTGTTTCGTTGACCTTCATCTTTACTGTCATTGGTTGTTGGATGATTTTAGTACGCTATTTTGTGGCTATCCCAACGATGTTTCTATCATATATAAATAAGCTCTATTTGTATGCTTGTCGACCTCGCATTTTCTGAGTGCTTGTATAATACACATTCTTTGCCTTATCAAGACTTCTTGATATAGTTATCTGGGTCGGGGACAAACGGATTAGAACAGCTTATCTTGTCACTGCATCATTTATCTTTTCTCCGTTCACTGAGTAAGGTGAACTCGTAATAGTTTCAAGCATATATCAATTGTCGTTTAGATATGTATTAACTGTATTTCACACTCACTTCAGGATTTACTATAAACATAACCCCTTAGCAATCAAAATGTAGTTTTAGATGTTGAAGAATAGCAAAGTATTCGTTAATCGCCATTAAGTTTAACCAATGCGTTTAAACAACGAAATTCCAACCGCCATTCACATTGAAATTCATCATTTTTCTTCATCATTCATTGTCAGTTGAATATGACTATTTTGTAAAACGTTTCACAAAGCGCGATAGCTAGCTGTGTTGTATGATACTCGTTTGTGATCAAAACAAATGTGAAGGCGTGTACTATGTATAACACATCATTTTAACATTGTATTTGTATGTCCAAAGCTAATTTACAAGTTAGTTGGCTATGCTTGGCTATTATCTAATAATAAATTTCGCAACATTAATATATTCATTGTTTATAATAATTATTAATTGAATTTTTTTCTTATCACTATTTGTCAATATCCTAATATATTTGTTTTTCATTTTATGGCATACAAATAACAAACAAACTACTTGAAAATACAATCGTGTTGTGATTTTTTTTCGTTTAGATCGTTATTCTTTTTATTTTGGCAGTCTTTCGATTTCTACTATCATTATTCCTGTGTGTTTATTCATTCGTGTACCTGTGTGTGTGTGAGTGTGTACGTAGGAATGCTCTAGTGGCAACTAGCTAGCTATCTAGCTATCTATTCACTGCTTATTGATCTTTTTCTATTTAGTATTTTTTTTTCAACTTAGAAAAAAAAGTGATACCTAGTAATTTGTGTCTATTGTTGTCATGTTCGTAATTGTTTGTTTGTTTGTTCCGGAAAGCATACATATGTACATATGTAAATGTTTCTGTATATATATATATATGTATATATAGTTTCCGGAGGAGCGAAATTCCTTCATCAAAATGTCACGTACATACGTAAAACTTCATTCTCCTATTGATCATAACAGGATATGTGTGATAACATAGGTTTTAACTTTGAACTTGGTCGCTAGATGCATTTCATGAATTCACGTTTGTTATAATAAGAGAAATAAATTACAGATACTCATTAGTTATAATTATGAATTCGATATTGTCGGGAATCTTATTCTTTTGTTAAGAAATACATATCTGTTGGTAAAGATTTTAAAACAATCAATCTAAGTCTTACAATGATCTTTTGAAATCGGTGTCTTTGAGCAGTGTTAGTGAAATTCTCGTTTTTATGGTTGAATGCCTCTCTTGATGATTCTTCAAAAGATGATACTTCAAAATATTAGCTGATATGGGAAAATGATTGTTATGCATGAATTTGTGAACTTTATCAATCAAACTAAATTCTTCTAGTGTTTAGGTTACAAATATTTGTAAATTATATCTTGTTTGAGTTACATGTGTGTGACAAAATAGAAATAAAACCATTTTCATGTATTTCTTAATTTTACTTTCAGTACAAATGTTGATTAACTTCAATCATACTAATATTGAGTTGGTTAATCTCACAATAAACTCTTATTCCTATACTCTATTAAGAAAGTTTTTAATCTGTTTATATCCAGGCCTTTGTTTTTGTTCAATACATTTCTCATCCCATTTTTTATACTGAAAATTTGTAAAAAGCATTTTGGTATTATTAAATAAAATGCTTAATTTCTTTATTTTTAAGTGATGATCGATAATCAACCATTGTGCCAGCATACATGATTACCCATCGTTAATTAATCAAGTTACAAACAAATAATAGGTACACTATTTTAGTTAAGTGGTTTGTGAGTAAATCATAACTTTAATTTTTTGTTATATCTATGTACATAGTCAATCAGCTATTGGTTCTTTTCTTAAAATCTATTTGGCTAGGATCAGTTCAACTGATTTCAGTTAGTCGACTAAATTAAAAATCAGAAAGGATTGGATAGCCAATTAGTTCAAGTATGAGATTCTTAAGTGCTACGCATCCAACAACCTTTCTAGGAACCGATCCATGATTGTTGTACTTGTGAAATTATCAGTAGTAGTGTGGTGATGACATAGTCCTACTTGGTGAAGACGCTGACAAAGCGCAGAGTCTTCTGACCACCCACCCTAAGCAACAATGCAAGCATGTGCGGGTTGCGGATCTCCGCGTCAAAATGCAAAATGTTGCTTCAAGATTGGGTCGCATCGGCTCCTGAACTAGTGATAGGGAGTAAAGTAGTCGAACGTGTAGACCGCTTCACTTATCTGGGGATTCTCATCAGAGCTGACGGCCTGTTGCCTGAGGAAATCTCAGCACGGATACAGAAGGCTCGATTAGCTTTTGCCAACTTGCGTCATTTATGGCGTAGGCGAGATATCCGTTTGCTGACTAAAGGACGAGTGTACTGCGCAGTAGTTCGCTCCGTCTTAATTTATGGCTTTAAAACATGGCCAGTGAGAGTAGAAAATATTCGTAGGTTACTGGTTTTCGATCATAGGTGTCTTCGAAGTATTGCTCGTATATCGTTGGACACCCGAGTGAGCAACGCTGTTATTAGGAATCGGGTGCTAGGTAAGAATGGCAGATCAATAGATGAAGTAATCAAACTTCACCAGTTGAGGTGGTTGGGACATGTGTTGCGTATGCCCAACCACCGACTGCCTGGATGAGCTATGTTTTGTGGTGTAGGAATAGATTGGGGGGGAGGCTAGGGGCGGCCAAACCAAAACATGGCAGAAATCCATGAAGTCACTGACGAGTTGACTTAGCCATGTCGGTAATTGTTGACTACCTGTTTGGGGTCCGCGAGATGATAATAATCGATGGTTAGAGACCTTGAACTAGATGGCTCAAAGTCGTTCGCAATGGCGCAGGTGCATTTACGCTATGTGTTCTCTCAAATCCTAATCTTCTGGGTTCTTCAACAACTCTAGTTTTGACTTTCTAAACTTTTCTCACTGAATCACGCTTCTTGAATAATATCTTCTAATCCTAACCTCTCTGATTACTTCTAATACCTTTACTACCTCTTCTACTATTGGATTTGAATTGACAATTATATCTCTGTGCTGATGTGGTATGGCAACATGAACTGATGTACTTACGTACGAAGTTCTACGTTGCATCTGACTGAGTAGTGTGGTGATCATTAGTCATATGCTTTTCAATCGCCAGTATTCATTTCTAATCTAAATATTGTCTATTTGATTTTTCTATTGAATTTTTTTTAGTATCCCGTATCAAGATTACTGCTGAATTCCAATATCCAAGTTCTTCTCAATACAGCGTTGGTTGCACTCTCTTCCTCACTGGACAATCCTCCTTTAATTAGATTTAGTTTGTGTATGTGTATACATAAAGCTTTAATCATTCATTACATTATATTTGTATAATTTCTTTTATGGTTTATCCTCTGTTGTTACATGGTCACCATTATCCAACAATAATAGACTAATGCTACATTCAATTTGTTTATTTTTGAAAACTAATTACTCTTCAAGAACATGGACGATTCAGTTCAATGTCAAAATTAAATAATAATTCAAGAAGACCACAGTAAGAGATAGACAGTTGATCCTTGTTTCTTTTTCTCTTATTCTCCTTATTTTAGTATCTGTGTATGTATGTATGTCCCAATGGATGCTCCATATATTTCAACTTTAATAATGTGTTTACTGTCTTCATTAGATCTCCCCCATTGTCAGTCTTTTTTTCAAATTTTAGACGTAACTGCTTGTTATTTTTGCTTGTTGAATTCTTTTAGATTTAAAATAAATAAAAAAACATCACTAACTTATTCATGTATAGATGTGTATTTTTCGGATAAAAAAAACAAAACACTCAACTTTGTCTTCTGAATTTTTTGTCCCTATTGTTTAGTTTTATTTTCCCTGTTGATTGATCGCCTTGATTGAAGTATTCTCATCAGTATCGTTGTGCATATTCACAAAATGCTCTAGATCCTTCTATTAGTCTAAGCCAATGAATGATAGTTAGTATTAAAACCCAAATTGTTCTTCTTCTTATCATTTTTATTCCCTGTACAAAAAATTTTCTCAGTTCTCAAATAAAATTCAAAAAAAAAAATTAGAGATTTTCAGAAAATTATTATTTCCCTCTATCCAAAGTGTTTGAATTGAATTGAAAATATTGTTTTGTTTTTTTCTTCTTGTTAGTAGTTCATTGTTGTTGTAATTTAGTTCTCTTTCTAAACACAGTTTACTTGTTTGTTACTGGGTTCTCTTTTTTTTTTGCTGTTACAATCAACAAGTTTCACATTCTGTTTTGTTTTTTGTTTTTTCTCGTCCTGTTTTTCTTCCTTGTATATTTTATGTTCTTACATGCATGTTAATAAAAAAATCAAATCTAGTTTATTTTGCCTTTTTTTGTTTCAGTTTTATTTTTGTGGAGTTTTTTTATTCGGTTCTCTCTTCTACTCTACTCTACTCTTTTCAAGTCATGTTCTTTTTTTTTTCTTTGGAAAACAAGAGAGAGCTAAAACAAAATGTACTATTCATGTAACAATAACTATTGATGCTTATCAGTTTTCATAATGATTACACTGTGCTTGTGTTTTCTTTTTCCTTGTTGATGATGATTATAACAAATACAAAATATGCTCGTTGATTCATTTCTAATAATCAATATTGTTATCTCATGTGTGTGTGGTTGTTATTACTGTGGCTTTATTCATTTTGTTTTGTAAGTGTGAGTTGTTCATATGTTATAGCTTTTAGCATTTTCTTTGGTAAACTCAATGATTGGGATATTTTAATCTAAAACTGGATAGATCGGATGACTAATCTACAACAACACTTCAAAATTAATTCTGAATAGAATATAGAGAGAAGTTAGGCGACTGGGAAAAAGATTGTTGTTCAAGAAATCAGTATGTTTAACAACAACTGACAATGACCTTGGGGCATATAGAATCATCATACTAATTTACGGTTTTCATAGCAGTCCATTGTTTAATTTTATGCTAAATAATTCCTTTTATTTAGAAAGTTAAACAAAACTGATTGGGCACTACAAGTTATTGAATACTTACTTAAGCCTGTTACCCCCAATGGAGCATAGGCCGCCCACCAGTTTTCTCCAACTAAACAAGCTTAGTTTTATTCACATGCAATCCATTGTCTAAGGACTGTAAGTAGACTGCCAATTAGATACTCGAACTGTGTCAATACAATTTTTATTTTAGAAAATTTTAGTGTACAACAATCATATCTCATTACGAGTACTTCCTTTTTGTCACAACACACTTATCTCATCTATATTTCCATTCTTCAGAGAATCTCTGTTACTCTCCGGAGTTAGATTATTTTTCGGATTGCATCACTTCTGAACCCCGCAGTTGTAATTGGGGTAGTGTAAATAAACTTTTCTAAGATTTATTTCGTCAGTAGTGATCCAAAAAGCACGAAAGACTTCACTCATTCTTTTATCGTAAACAAAGAATATCGAAGGTTACTTTGGTATCGTATCTTCTCAGTTATCCTAGCCCTCACTTAGATGCTTTATTTTCCTAAAAGACTCAGTTTTATCTCCAAAAACAATCTCGAATGCTTATTTCACCAATTATCTGAGAGTTTTTCCCTCCATTATTATTTGATGGGTCATGTGTTTTTCTGTAAAAATAACGCTGGGGGTAATAAAACTTTTTATCTATTATAGTAGAGTATGTTTATCAGTATTGATGGTTTCTAACATGTATCTAAACAGCGACCTAATTACATCATATTGGACAGTTATGCATTATAGGCATTGCAGAAAAAATATTTTCATAGAACGGGAACCATGATAAGTTGATAATAAATTTCTTTTCGGCTGTGTTACAGATAAACTATATTTCTAAGAAGAACAATAAAACAAATAAGTTCGCTTTTCTAGGGACTTTGCTCATTGTGATTGTGGTGTGAAAATCTCACGAAAATATCAAAACAATTACAGTTTATAATAACAATAAGAGTTCTGTTTACTGTACTGAAATTTTTACAGAAAAGTCGCCATCTACGTTTTCAATATTTATTATAGAGAGTTTTAGCATAAAAGATAAGTCTGGGATTAAGTATACGTATTGTGGTTTCGGAATCTACTTCGTTAGTTTCGTTAGGTTGTGTAAAATTGTTAATTTGTTTTTTGATGAAATCAATTTTTTGATTTACTGACTTCATTACGAAACAAATTGTTTTACTAGGAATCACTCTGTGGAGAATTTTTGTTCTCATCTAGTCTATTCACGTCCTTAATCGTTCTTGTAAAAATCTGATCAACTCTTAGAAATTAATGGAAAAGTAAACGTTGCTCAATTTACTTTATGGATTTTCATTTGACTAGAGGTAATTTACTTGCATTCTAAGAAGTGCGTACACTTTATTTGCTCATATTTTTGCCAGCGAGGACAATGACATCAAAATAAACGATAACACAGACAAAATAGATAAATGAATTGAGTCAACAGTATCATCTGTTGACAATGAAGGTGTATTAACACAAGGTGAACTATCAACTTCAATTCTAGGCGCATTCGAAAGCAGTTTTGTTAATGATGGTCTAAAATCTTCAGTACTGTCTTATAATTATGTATTGAAGTCCTCTTCATGACTTTAAAGATTATGTGGTCAGAATTTAATTTATTCAGATAAGTATCTAGATCAATATGAGTAATTGAGGTATTTTTTATCCATACCATACTATTGTTTCCTTTAACAAATATTATTATCTGAAATAAAGCCGAAGTAGTGTGATCTACAAGCTGTATTCACCATACTATTCCGTCGGTCTGTTGAATTGTTGAATATTGTATGGAATAGATAAAATGTCAGTAGCAGTGGAACCCAGGACCTGCTTTTCGCTATATTGGAGACTTGTCGGCTGGATATTATAATTATCATGCGAACCCCAATCAAATAGTCTGCACTCATTAATATAGCTTAATCCAGTTGTTGTTGACTTAGTGGAATGGTGCTATGATTTATTTGGCTGGCAAAGATTCACTACCTCATCCCTACCTATTACTCTATTTCTGATCCAGAAATTATTTGCTCGTTTGTGCTAGAATACACAAGCAATTCTTCGGAGAGATCTGTGATCGAATACTAGTAACTCACGAATATCCTCTATTCTTAGTTGTTATGTTTCACGCTGATAAAGGAGAACTGACCGGACTGTTACTCAGTAAACTGATTGTTTGGTTGGCATATGATTATCTGGCGTACCGCATAAGTGACGCAAGTCGGAAAAAGTTAACCAAGCCTTTTATATTCGTGTTGAGATCTCGTGAGACACGAGATTGATTAGATTCCGAAGATAAGTGAGCGGTAGACCCGACTACTTCAGTGGCTGTTTTTAATTCAGACGCTAACGAAAGCTTACGCTGAATCAGCAATTAGTATTTGTAAAAAGATAATCACATCCTGAATATGTTTAGATTGTTGCTTAATGTGTTCGACTATATTTTCTGATCAATTTCGCTAAATTGACCTATGTCGTTTGGAAGTTCTAAGCCAACAAGTAAATCTTCTGGTAGAAGGTTGATTCGTAAGAAATCGGACGACGAATGTGATAACTGTAAAAGTAAGTGGATGACAAAGATAAAAATTAGGAAGGTTGACAACCCTCATGAGCACTGCCTGATTTAATCAATTCTGATGATCTCTGACTATCATTAATGATCGAATAGTGTCTGTAGGGCTTTAGTATAGTTTTTTGGATCACCTTCCAATGACAGACACTGCCACAGATGTGCAGTATGTCCATGTTCCATAACGTGCCAAAGTATGAGTATTTGGTCTAGACATCTACGTCTAAATCTGAGAGTTGCCTGGTTTTTATGAGTTTGCTGTTGATCAGCTCTAGTATCGAAGTGTTGTTAATGCTAATATTTTAGACACTATATTAGTCATGCTAATCTCTCCGTAATTGTTACGAGAGGAGTTTTGTCGTTTTTATAGACTAGGAAGACGAGCGTTCGATACCAGTTAGATTAGATTGCGTCTAGTTCCCATTTTCTAACTGAGATTTCAGTGGTGAGACCGGACCACGATTCCTGAAAATTTGAAGGTTAATGTATGTAGCATTCGCAAACTGACTAGGAGTTGTATGGCTTTTATGAATTTGCTATTCCTACTGTTTGGAGGTGACGGTTAGCTGGAGTGTGGATGGGGGTCAATTAAACGTTTCCTTAAAGTCTATATAGAATCGGTATAATTAGGCTTGTATCGGGATCCAGGATATGCATTTCATCCCATTTGGGACTCATCAACCGGATGCTCCTAAAACATCCGCTACCTAAACATCCTTTTAAAGTTTTACATTTTTGAATGGGTCTACTGTTTGTTTTGTCATCCTATTTTACAGTGAATATTATTCAATTGACACCTAATTGTTCTGTTAACAATCTGTTAACATATGCGAGATGTTATGTCCGTAAATTTTTCCCCATACAGCACAATACTGATGTTATAACAAACTTATAATTTTTTCCAGATGTCATATATTTTGGTTTTTGACAATTTCACGGTTTAATAAAATGAATAAAATCTCTCTTCATGTAACAGTTCTTAACTTATAACTTTACATTATATTATTTATTTTAGGTATTACTACTGTTGTATAAGAATGAATTTTTTCACTACCAAATCTACTAGTCTTTCAATTTTCTTAACATCCAAAGGTCATCGTGTTTCATTACATACCCAGTCATATGCATTGTATGCTAATAAACCTCATCGTTTAATGAATTTTCAAAATGTCGATGAACTGGAGGCTAAACTTCCTGGTCCAATATTTTCATTACTAAAATGGTGGTCTAAAATAAGACCTTTAAAAGTAGAAATAGCAGATCTTCATCGTCGTATTCTACGTAATAAAGAAGGATTTGAAGTATGTTCATTTATTATTTTCTGATATAAATTTAAACGTTATAAAACATATTATTATTATTATTTAAAAGCGATGTACTACTACATTGTCAGTTCTTATTTCAAACAGAAGTTAGCTTTTAAATAGTATTGCACAAGTATTTGACTGTATGACGTTGTTGAAAAATAACATGGATGTTAACATATCTATTGCTGGCAAACTAATTAATTATTTTGGTTTTTAACTTTCTTTGATCTAGAATTTCAACATATTCCTATTTCTCAGATTCTTGTCCATTTCAGACAGTAATCTGTTTTGTGATTATTTTTTTTTCTGAAAAAGGTGATAATAATGATAAGTATGATGATGATGACAATTTTTCCGATCATTTTTTTATCATTCATAAAGATATTAATCATTTATGAATACGTGTTTTGTTTGTCCTTTCAAAAAAAAAAATCCCGAATTAGAGCTTGTTACATTACGTAATTTATGCCTTTTTATCCATCCCACACAACTGATAAAGCGTACTGAATTTATTCTTATTTTCTACAAATACTGTTTTACAAAGAGAACTAATTCAATTTAGTAACTTCAAGTTGTCAGTGTTAAATCATTTCATTGATTATTATTATTATTATTATAATTTTCAAGTCTTATGGTCAATGTAGTTTATTTTTCATGATTTTATAGTAAGTCATGTATGTTTGAACACAACTAGACAATATATATTTTCTATTTGATGATAAAGATTTCTATCATACATTAGTGTCTGTTGATTCAGTTCTTGTTGGTATGTTGTACAGAACTACTTGATCAAAATTATTTTTTCAAGACGTGATCGATGGATTTCAACCCTGTCAGGAGAGGTTGCTCAAAATCCTTAGATTGACCAGAGTTAGACATTAACACCGTTGGATGCTGGCTTAATGGTCCGAAGGTTAAGCGTTCGCACGCAAGCTCGAATTTCCTGGGTTAAAATCCTGCAAGTAGAAAGAAATGTGTATGCGCACTACTGCAGAGTCCCATACCAGGACGAAGTAGCCATCCAGCGCTTCCGTGTTTCTAATGGTAGGGCAAAGCAAGTTGAAATGATATACATTCGTGTCAGATTCTACCATGAAAATTGTTAATTAGGTGGTATAGCTGTAGGTAGAGTGTTAGCGAACCAATTTTTGGTAGGTAGTTGAAAAATAGATAAAATATAACTTATTATCATCGATATAATATGTTGTTGTGATGCTAACTGATAAATAACCTTGCTTTATGTCAAATATTTCACTTTAGTAAACATAATTGTAGATATCTCTAAGACACATGACTATGTATGTTAATTTTATAGTGTAGGTATATTCTATTGAATGTTTTCAATTCAATGTCACAATAAAATAAACTTATGATGTTTTTTTTAAAGTTTGAATGCATGGTTGAATTGCTTAAGAAGTGTGTATTTTTATGCCAGGAATTATCATTCTGACATTTTGTCTTCCCAGCTAATTCAAACAACAACAACAACGACAACTGCTGTAATTGATTTATGTAAAGAAAAGATGGGACTTGATTGATTGATTTGATATCCACCTTTAATTATTCGGTATTTCATTCAAACAGTATGATATCCGGTGCTTTGGATTCAGTTATTCAAACTGAACTAAATACATTTTTTATTGATTACTACAACTTAATAGTTAATTAGTGTGTAGGTATTTTTCTTCTTTCGTTCAATATTTGATTGTATTCTAAGATTGTTTCTTTCCAATAAATGCGTTGACTTACGTGGATCGTCGAATCATGTGTGTTTACTTTGCTGTCACATAATTACTACTGTTGTTACTATGCTTATTTTCAATCTTATTATTGTACAAGCAATAGTTGAGTATATTCTATGAAATGTTTTTTGAGATTAGTCTATACGTCTGTTTTATAGTAGAGTAGTAGTAGTAGTAGTAGTAGTAGTAGTAGTAGTAGTAGTAGTAGTATGTGAACATTTCGTAGAATAAATTTACATATATATTGCAGAAAATTAGATTTTGCAATGGCGCAAGTGCATCCATTCGTTGAGCTCTCTCAAATCCTAATCTTCTGGAATCGTCAGCACCTCTACCTTTGTCTTCCTAACCTTATCTCACTGAATTATACTTCTTGAATAATATCTTCGAACCCTAGTCTTCTTCATTACCATTAATACCTCCACTATCTTTATCACTATAGGATTTGATTTGACATTTGCGTCTCTGTGCTAATGTGGTATGGCAACATGGCGACTGACTGACTGACTAACTGAAAATTAGATTTTGGTTAAATGGTTAATTAGAGATGATAATAATGAAATAATCTGTTATATAATGTAGAAACTAAAGCATTTGGCCAAATGAAATTCATCACATCTTTGAATGAAAGATGATGAGTCCCATACCAGGATGAAACAGCCATCTTTCAGTGCTTCCAGGTTTCTAGTGGTAGTCTAACATTGATCGATTCATGATTTCAAAAATGTGTAACTTTACAATCTTCACAACTCCGTAATGAAAGAATATTATCAGTTTAAATGTCTGTTCAAATCGATAAATTATTCCTTATTCGTATTTCTAATTTCCTGAATTAGTTGTTACCTATTGAATCTAAAAAAATTTTATGTCATGATGTAAACTAATTCTTTCACTTATTTTTATTGGTTGAATGGTATTGAAATCATAAATCAATCATTGCTAGACCGCCATTAGAAACTTGGAGGTACTGGATGACTGTTTCGTCCTAGGATGGCACTTATTAGCAGTGCGCATTCACGACTCCCTCCATTCGCAGGAATCAAACGTAGGACCTTCGGTCTTGCACACGAATGCTTAACCTCTAGAACCAGCATCCACGGTGTTTATGTCTAATTGTGATCATTTTAAGGTTGCCTTATGTTATGACGGCATGTTTCATTTGTTAATTAAAACTGGTTTGATGGAACTGCATGTGATTACAGTTAGGCGAATCAATAACTCAAAAATATATAGCCAGTTGCAAATGAAAAGAAAGTCTTCAAACATTTGTTTGGATATGTTTCTTCTGATGACATTAAAACAAAATTAGTTATCACCAATCAGAACTGTTTGATTTCATGGGAACATATCGGTCTTTATTCTTACCCGTCACACTATTCTCAATGGTTAATAGTTTATTTAATAATCTAACAGTTTATTGATCATCTTTAAAATTGAATAGGTGTCTGTAAATCATTCACGTCAACAATGATTGCATCATGACTAGTGTAACTAATTTTAATATATTTTCAAAGTTTTACTAAAAAAAGTAGCGATGGATAGACTTATCCGTTGTGTAAAGTAACATAAATATTACCAGCAGCATTGAATAATCATGTTGTTGTGTATTTCAAGCGAATCAGAATTGAATATTATGAATTATGAAGTTTTAATTCCCTAGTGTAAAAATTTATCATTTTATTTGTGTTAGATCTGAGTGTTCTTAGTTTAATGATCTCATGTGTAACATTGTGACCTACTAGTATTAATAACGTTGAAAGTACAATGCAACAAATGAGTTTCAAGGATTATTCAGTTAGTTTCTCAGTTGCAATGTAGAATTTTGTCAACATGTACATCAGTTCAAGTCAACATACACTATTAGCTTAAAGTAATGAAATTTTCAGGCCGAATCATCAGCGTAGTAAATGTAGTAACGGTATTAGTGGCGGATAGAAGATATGATACTTAAAAATTATCAATCAGTAAAGTACATTTTCTTAAAAAGAATTCAAAATCTTAGGATTTGGGTGAAGACAAACACCAGATGCACCTGCACCGTTGCAAACAATCTTGAACTATGTCATTCAAAGTTTGTAACCATTGGTTATAATTATCATGCCAACCCTAATCAGATAGTCTGCATTTATTAACATCGCTCAAGCGGTTGATACTCAACTGTTTCATTGGGTATTATTAATTCAGTCGCCATCGGACATCCAATGAGCTATTTCTGAACTAAACACTAATTTCTACACGTCACATTACCTAAGTTGTTACTGAAAATGAAAATTGCTGAGACTGTCAAAAACACTACATAGGACAAAGTGGATGACCTCTTCAGCTTCGTTTACGTGAACACCAATTAGCAGTCAAACGCCACGACAACTCTTCGCTTATATCAATACACACCGACAATTATGGACATACATTCGATTGGGACAATGTGGAAATACTGGATAGGTGGAGGACAAAGAACAATAGAGAATTTTTAGAAGCTTGGCACTCAGGTCAATCAGCAATCAACAAACACATCGATATTGACCCAATTTAATCAACTGGTCAGGAAAATCATAGGTGACATAGGATCAAAAAACAGATCAAAAGGAAGATACAATCAAAACAAAGGTGCAAACAACAATATGTTTAAGGTCAACAGCAACCAATCAAGATGGAGGTTAACAGAACTAGCTACAGGTCAAACGTAGAAAAATTCGAATACTTCACTTCCATCGGAAGTTTGTGCTGACGATGTTGTTCAGAAGAACAATGAAAGCTTCACAACCAAAATATCCTACTTAGAGAACGAAACACCATCCCAATGAAAATTGATTTTACACCTGTAAGAAAACGCTTTTTTTCTTACATTCATTAGTGTATTAACGTTAAACAGTATCTATTCACATATTTAAACAGTATTCATTCTTTCTTTAATCTATTGCTTATTGTATAGATTAGTGTTTTTACAGAAGATCTGATGCGTTATCAAGCAAATTATCATGAAAAAAGTTTTATTTATTTTCATACTTTTTCACAACAGTTAATATACGTTAAAAATTATTAATGCATATCGTTTCATTGATAGGATAGAACAAAAACTGTTTCAGCATAAATAATCTGTCATGTCATTGCTCACATTAATTTTCTTTTTCTCTTTTTTTTTAATGGTAAACATTTTGAACAATTTTCGTTATCCAATAAATCTGATTTATGCATTTACACTAAGTATTTTGAAAATCATAACAAAAAAAGACTATAAATTAAAAAAATTAG